TGCGAGGTGTTGCAGTGTTCAGTTTTCAAGTGGTTTTCAGTCCCAAGTTTGTGGCTCAGTAATTGTGTCAGTTTGGATGACGCACAAATAGAAATGAAACAATTTATCTAATCAAGTGAAGCAGTGATATACTGACTTCCCAGGACTGCTGTGGTGATCCAGTGAGATAATGTGTGCACAGTGTGCATTGTGGTCACCAGCACACAGTCGGTGCTGAGAGAGTGCCAGTGAGTACCTGGTAGGACAGGTGAGGGTGGTGGGACTCATTGACTGAGGAAATTGGGCCCTGGAGGAGGGGTCCATTCACATCTGTGACTGATGGGCCTGAGCTGGGAGAGGCAGAGAGACCTTGCCCCCTGACCAGGGGCCCTGGGCAGGACGGCTATTGGAGGAGTACCGTGAAGTCAGCTCTGTGCAGATGAAGTTGGAGGTGCCCTTGAGACAACTAAGTGCAGTGTCGCAAGCTGACAGAGGAGGTCTGGGCCCGGGCTGGGCATTTTCCTATAATCTCAATCCCTGGGGACGCCGAGGTATTGATCACTGAACGTGAAGACTTACTTTTCAGGACAAGTGAATAGTAATATCATGTCTGTCATCAAAGCTCACGTCTCTTTATTCATCACTGACTTTGCTAATTGGGTACTTACAGAGCTCACTTCACCGTCCTTCCGTGGGCCCAGGCTCCACAGAAAAGAGCTGGTGAGACTCCCTCTTTTCCAGAAGAAGACACATTAAGCTGGTAGCATTCTGTACTTCGCCAGACTTAGAATTTTAGTTTGTTGATTTAATTCTATTTTCTGTTGGCCATCTCTTGACAGGAGAGATGTTTTACCTCATGGTCAGGTTTCAATTAGTTGTTACTGAGAATTGCTGATCTGATCCATAGTGTATGCATTCTATTAACTTTGTAGAGTACTTATCGTTTTTCTGTATTTGCCCTTAAATTTTGTTTGCCCCTTCAAGTTTCTATCCTATTTGGGGCCTTATTTTTTTTTAATTAAAAAATGTCTGTTAGCAGTTAAGAAAACAAAAGCAAAGAAAAATGCACATGATAGCTAAATTTAGAAAATTTCCAGTGTGTTTTCTGTCTCGGCAATGGAGGGTTCTAGAAACTCGTGGAAACCTTCATTACACAAGTTCCTTAAAATGCTGATTAAGAAATAATACCTTCCTTCCTCATCTTT